GGGATATCAGGACACCAACAGGGACACCATAAAGGACATGGTGACAATGCCATGGGGACATGGGGACATCCATGGGGACACCATAAAGGGCATGGTGACGACACCATGGGGACAAGGGGACACCAACAGGGACACCATAAAGGACGTGGTGACAACATCATGGGGAGATGGGGACACCCATAGGGAAACCATAAAGGACATGGTGATGACACCAAGGGGACAAGGGGACACCAACAGGGACACCATAAAGGACATGGTGACAACACCAAGGGGACATGGGGACACCAACAGGGACACCATAAAGGACGTGGTGACAACACTAAGGGGACACGCGGGCACCCATGGGAACACCATAAAGGACATAGTGTTGACAACACAGGGACATGGGGACATTAACAGGGACACCATAAAGGACATGGTGACAATGCCATGGGGACATGGGGACACCCATGGGGACACCATAAAGGACATGGTGACAACACCATAGGGATATGGGGACACCAACAGGGACACCATAAAGGACATGGTGACGACACCATGGGGACATGGGGACATTAACAGGGACACCATAAAGGACATGGTGACAACACCATGAGGACACGGGGACACCAACAGGGACATCCCAGGGATGCTCTGGGGTGTGGGGTGGCCCTCGGGGACCCATCAGTGTCCCTGTCCCCAGGTATGGGTTCCTCCTGGACAAGGCTCTGATCATCTGCAAGCGCCGTGGGGACGCTTACGAGGCCAAGGATGTCGTGGACCTACAGAGCCACCAACTGAGGGACAGTGGCCTCGGGCCCAGGGATGGCAAGAAGGTACCGTGAGAGCCAGGTGGTGGCCAGGATTGGGGGCCATAAGTGTCCAAATTTAGTGGCCCCAAGTGTCAGGTCTTTGGTGGCCCCAAGTGTCCAGATCTGGTGGCTCCAAGCTCCTTGTTCCTGATGTCCCCTTTGAAGTCTAGTGGCCCCAAGCACCCAGCTTTTGGTGGCTTCATTGAAATCTGGTGGCCTCAAGTGTCCAGATTTAGTGGCCCCAAGTGTCAGGTCCTTGGTGGCCCCAAGTGTCCAGATCTGATGTCCCCAAGCACCCAGATTCCTTGGTGGCCCCATGGAAGTCAGGTGGCCACAAGTGTTCAGATCCTGTGACCTCAATCCCACAGCTCCTTGGTGGCCCCACTGGGGACCGGTGGCCCCAAATGTCCAGATTTGGTGGCCCCAAGCCTCATGGTCCTTGGTGGCCCCAAGTGTCCAGATCTGGTGGCTCCAAGCTCCTTGTTCCTGATGTCCCCTTTGAAGTCAGGTGGCCCCAAGCACCCAGCTTTTGGTGGCTTCATTGAAATCTGGTGGCCTCAAGTGTCCAGATTTAGTGGCCCCAAGTGTCAGGTCCTTGGTGGCCCCAAATGTCCCAATCTGATGGCCCCAAGTGTGGGGGTCCTTGGTGGCCCTAAATGTGCAGATTTGGTGGCCCCAAGTGTTGGGGTCCTTGGTGGCCCCAAATGTCCAGATTTGGTGGCCCCAAGTGTTGGGGTCCTTGGTGGCCCCAAATGTCCCAATTTGATGGCCCCAAGTGTGGGGGTCCTTGGTGGCCCCAAATGTCCAGATTTGGTGGCACCAAGTGTCGGGTCCTTGGTGGCCCCAAATGTCCCAATTTGATGGCCCCAAGTGTTGGGGTCCTTGGTGGCCCCAAATGTCCCGATCTGATGGCCCCAATCTCCCCATTCCTGGTGGCCCCATGGAAGTCCGGTGTCACCAGCTGCCCAACTCTTGGTGGCCCCATTGAAACTCGGTGGCCACCCCCCACGCCTGGTCCCTGCTGACCCCCCCCCTTTACCCACAGTGGTCCCACACCTTCCTGCTCATCAACACGGCCGGGCTGCAGGGCTACGAGCTCTTCTTCAAGACACGCGAGCTGAAGAAGAAGTGGCTGGAGCAGTTTGAGATGGCCCTGTAGGTGACCCCACAACATTGGGACCGGATGGGATGAGCCCCACTGAGGGGTTGGGTGCCCCTATGGGGGTCGAGTTGCCCCCCTCAGGACCCCCCCTCATCCTTGGCCAGGTCCAACATCTTCCCGGAGCACGCCCTGGCGGATGGACACGACTTCCAGATGTTCTCCTTTGAGGACACCACGTCCTGTAGGGCCTGCCAGATGCTGCTGAGGTAGGGGGGCGGTGGGGGGGGGGGTCATCAGGGGTCAAGGATGGGGTAGTTTGGGGTCTGGGTGGGTCAAGGATTGGGGTGGAGTTTGGGGGGCTCAAAGATTGGGGTGAAGGTTGGGTGGGTTTAGGATTGGGGTGAAATTGGGGGGGG